GGGAAAGAGAAGGAGTTTCAGTTAAATTTCAATTCTAAACTTCAATAGCTTTCTCGAATTTGACTAACTAGCAATGTAAGTTCAGAATTGAACCACAAACCCTAGAACAGAGACGATGGTGAGCTTCAGCGGATCTAGCCGCATCCAATACCCCACGGGGATGGCACCACGAAGCTCAATCACTGGAAGAGTAGCAAGAAAGAACACAATGGCCTCATCGATCCAACCAGATTTTCTCAAGCCCGTGGCTACCTTTAGCCCGAACCCAGAAGCTCTAATCGAGTCGTCAACCGCTGCTAGAGAGGTACCGCAGGTAAATGACAAGAAAATGGACAGCAAGAAGCATGGCAGAATCCTTTGGAGGACAGAAACAGTGCCAGGTACTTCTGACGATCGCTCTTGCGGTATGATTTCAGCACACCGGATCTTCACCTACTTAGAAATAAGCAGTGCGAAATTGAAACGAAGAATTTTGATAGAGGAAGAAAGCATAACTTACCTTGTTGGGAAGACCACCGGCGACTGCTTCAGAGGAGACGGCACATTTTGTGGTGGGTGGGATTCGTCGATCGAGAGCTGCAAACAGAGAAGAGGGAGGTGGTGTTCTTCGTGGGGGGAATGCGAATAATGAGACGCTGCTTCTTCTTCCATAGAAGGCAGAAGTTGGGGCGAGAGCGATAGGGCAGACCATGGATAGAGACAGAATAACGTCTGTATCACCGAACCAGCTGCTGGTCCATCCTTCATTGAAATAAACTTGCTGTAATTAGAAATATAATATTGTGATATATTTGTAAATATATAATTGTGTAAAGAAATAATAATATGTTAATAGTATTATTTTTAATGAATTATATATATTTTATCAAATTAACTTGCTTTAAAGCCTGATTTGTGTTATTTCAAGTTAAATTTGAATGGGGTCAAGCTTACCCACACAACTTCTACTTGACATTACATTTAAATTCTAAATTACCGACTACTTTTAATATTCTTAAGGGTACGTTCGGGGTTCGGCCCGCAACCTGCGTTTAGTGTAAAAACCCACACGTGATTTCGGATAAGCTGGCAAAAAGCACGAACCAAACGGTACCGCGACATTTTGAAAACGCCGCCCTCACTTATAAGCTGCCCCAAACGGGCCCTAAGACCAAAAAATAAAACTAATTTTTTATAGTTTAGTTGATAATAGTTATTTATTGTTTTTTATTCATCAAACTCACTTTTTGATTTTTTTTGTAACAAATATTATTGGGTTTGAATTAGATTTTGATTGTAATATTCTTAGATTTATGTACTAGTTTTATTTATCATATAGTCGAGTTTTTGATAGGTTTGTTTTTTCAATTGCTTCTGTCCATGTTACTTTTAGCAATTTTGTTTTATTCACTTATTTAGCTATGATTGTAATTCTAATTGATTGAATGAAATAAAATTGTATCTTTTCTTGCTTACTTTTATTATTCTTTTTATTTGTATATAAATTTATCTTTGATAAGTAGAAAATATGTTTTAATTCATTCAATATGCTCCATTTTGTGCATTTTGAAACTGGGGTGTGACACATTCATATAAATAAAGTTTATTTATTAAAGGATAAATATGCCCTTCTTTAGAATACCTGTTAGCTTAATGTAGGTTTATTACATTTAGTGGATTTTTAGTCATGTATTTCATAGTCGTTGATTGTTATGCATATTTTAGTATATCTTATTTGATGCTCATAGTAACATATTATATTACATAGATAAAAATATCATTTTAATTATACATAAATTGCTCAAATTTGAAATGATCGCATGACTGTAAGAGAAACACACACACACATTATCTCTATTGAAAAACATTTAAGTTTTTAAAGTGTCGTAGTAAAATAGAATATTAATTAGGGTAAACTATCCTATAGACGACGTATAATGTAGTTAGAATTGATACATTAACATAAAAATGCATCAATTATGATTTTTTATTTTAATAATGATTATGAACATAACCATACTATAAATCATCATAGACCATGTAATATTATTTATCCATGCCATGCAATATCAATCAAATGTAATGAAATAGTGTCTTTCATTGAATTAATATTATATTAATAATTGCCTTTCTTTCATTATCTATATTACATTATGTAAAATCTATTGTTTATACTTCAATAAAATGGAAATTATCTAACGAATGTAAATTTGAAACATATTATTGATAAAAATTTATTTTCAATCATTTTATTAGTTTGCTAAATTGATCATTATTATATGAGCATATTTTTTAGTGTTGATTATTTTATTGTATGTTTTGAGTTTTTAATATAAATTTTATAATATTCATGTTGATTTTTTGTAGTTATTTAATGTGCATTTATTTACCTTCATATCCTTTTTATTATTCATAGTTTTTTAACTAATAAATTATTATGAAAGACTATTCTTCTTGTTGTGTTTTTTGTTTGTATAAAGTGTGGATTCTAACCACACCAAACCACAAAACTTATTTTGAAACTAGGCGGAGTTCGAGCCTTTTGAGGGATCTCTACGTAGGGTTATGATTAGGGTTGTCAAAACGGCTCGTTGTTCTCAAACAGCTCGTGTTCGGCTCGTTATATATATATATATATATATATATATATATATATATATATATATCTCTCTCTTTGATGAGTATTATTTTTAAAAATTGTAATTGACTACAAGGCTACAAAGATTAATAATCAATTAAAAGTATTAATGAAGAAAATAGAATAAAAATTATTAAATTAGATTCAAATGATGTTTTAAATCTTGCCCCAATCCTTAACATCTTATGACTATGTGATTAGGGTTGTCAAAACGACTATTTGTTCGTGAACGGCTCGTGTTCAGCTAGCTAAGCAAAAGAACTGAACACGAACACATTTTTTTAGCTCAAAATATAAACGAGTCGAACAAGAGCTGAGCCTGGTTACAGTGCATGCTTATTCGGCTAAAGAACTTAAAGAAAGATGATGTGAAGCTACAACTTCGATTGCCTTAAATTTTGTCTTCAATATCACACTTCCACCTAACAACTTACTAATCACTACATCGCAAGAAAGAATCAACAATTTTGACTTTTTTTTAATTTCTTGTGTTGTATTTATTTGGACTAATATTCTTAATGCGTTTTTATTTACTTGGATATCTTCCAAACTATTTTTTATAAAATTAACCCCATACATGAGTAATTTTATCAGCTTGAGAATGATTGATTAAGTTGTTAGGTATGTTATTTAACATTTATCTAAATACAATTTAACATTTATCAAATATTGATTTGCAAGCAACCAATTGGATTTAGAAATAACAACATCACGACATCACAAATCAAAGTAGCAATTGACACGACACAAATACTCAATGAGAGTGGATCTCAAGGCGCCAATGATGGTTGTCGGTGAGGGTTTGGAAGGTGGTACAGGGGTAAGAAAAATGGTTGACAAGCAGACAACAAGAAGAAAATGATTTCCTCGAAGCCGGACAACAAGTAGGCAACAGAGGGACGATGCGTGATGATTGTCTGGGTAGGTGGCAATAAGGGGAAATGTCAAAAACAATGACAACTTTAATGAGGATGCGGCTGGAAGCTGACCGACAGTGGGCCAGCGAGTGGGGAGGCTATGAGGAATGCTGGGAAGGAGCGACAATCGATTAATCGAGCTATGTGTGTTGCTAGAGAGATGGCTATAAGGTTGATAGGAGGCTATAAGATTAAAATTCTTGTGTTGTATTTATTTGGACTAATATTCTTAATGCGTTTTTATTTACTTGGATATCTTCCAAACTATTTTTTATAAAATTAACCCCATACATGAGCAATTTTATCAGCTTGAGAATGATTGATTAAGTTGTTAGGTATGTTATTTAACATTTATCTAAATACAATTCAACTTAAGATTAGTGGGTGATGCGGGAACCCCTCTTTCTGTGACATTACTGCAATATCGTGAATTACTATAATATTGCACGTATTTCGATGATATGTTATAGTCCCACAACCCAACATGCGTCTATTTTCATGCCTAGACCAAATCAATCCATATTTTTTCATTATTGTGAAGTTTGTCGGCTGTCTTGGGTCACTCCTCATTATCCCTATATTATATATTTACTTTTCTAGTGTTATAGGTTTAGTTTTTTTGTGTGTTTTGTATGAGAACAACAGTTGACGTCTCTTCTTTCCTTTAAGGGTTGTATATTGGTTTCCATGTGGCACTTCGGTTGTATCTTAGTGTTTATCCTTCCCAAGCTCATTTACATCCCTCTTGCTTCGCTGCAGGCCGCCTCGACAACAATCATTTTGTTGTTTTCTTGGTGCTTCCTTTTTGTCCAACCATTTTCCTCGCTACCCCACCCAGTACCGCCTTTCTTTGGCTCTCTAGTAGCTCACTGCATCCCCCATCATCATTCTTGCCATCCATCCTAGTTATTGTCGCCTCAAGCCAAAAAGAAAGATGATGTGAAGCTACAACTTCGATTGCCCTTAAATTTTGTCTTCAATATCACACTTTCACCTAACAACTTACTAATCACTACATCGAAAGAAAGAATCAACAATCGTTTAGGATTTAATCATTCTTTAGATAGATATCTGCAAATGCATACAATCGGTTTTCCTAGTTTGACTAGTCCTTAACTTATATTTTATTGTTCTCCTTAGATTAGCACTTTGGAGACCTACTGATGTCAGAGTTAACCCACCCAAAATAAGTAAAGAAACTTTTATTATTGAACCTCAAATATTGATTTGCAAGCAACCAATTGGATTTAGAAATAACAACATCACGACATCACAAATCAAAGTAGCAATTGACACGACACAAATACTCAATGAGAGTGGATCTCAAGGCGCCAATGATGGTTGTCGGTGAGGGTTTGGAAGGTGGTACAGGGGTAAGAAAAATGGTTGACAAGCAGACAACAAGAAGAAAATGATTTCCTCGAAGCCGGACAACAAGTAGGCAACAGAGGGACGATGCGTGATGATTGTCTGGGTAGGTGGCAATAAGGGGAAATGTCAAAAACAATGACAACTTTAATGAGGATGCGGCTGGAAGCTGACCGACAGTGGGCCAGCGACTGGGGAGGCTGTGAAGAATGTTGGGAAGGTGCGACAATCGATTAATCGAGCTATTTGTGTTGCTTGAGAGATGACTATAAGGTTGACAGCTGGCTTGAGGCGATAATAGCTAGGATGGATGGCAGGAATGATGATGGGGGATGCAGTGAGCTACTAGAGAGCCAAAGAAAGGCGGTACTGGGTGGGGTAGCGAGGAAAATGGTTGGACAAAAAGGAAGCACCAAGAAAACAACAAAATGATTGTTGTCGAGGCGGCCTGCAGCGAAGCAAGAGGGATGTAAATGAGCTTGGAAAGGATAAACACCAACATACAACCGAAGCGCCACATGGAAACCAAGATACAACCCTTAAAGGAAAGAAGAGACGTCAACCGTTGTTTTCATACAAAACACACAAAAAAACTAAACCTATAAGACTAGAAATGTAAATATATAATATAGTAATAATGAGGAGTGACCCAAGGCAGTCGACAAACTTCACAATAATGAAAAAATATGAATTGATTTGGTCTAGGCATGAAAACAGACGCATGTTGGGTTGTGGGACTATAACATACCATCGAAATACGTGCAATACTATAGTAATTCACGATATTGCAGCAATGTCACAGAAAGAGAGGTTCCCGCGTCACCCACTAATCTTAAGTTATTTAGATAAATGTTAAATAACATACCTAATAACTTAATTAATCATTCTCAAGTTGATAAAATTACTCATGTCCTAAATCCAATTGGTTGCTTGCAAATCAATATTTGATAAATGTTATCACAGAAAGAGAGGTTCCCGCGTCACCCACTAATCTTAAGTTATTTAGATAAATGTTAAATAACATACCTAATAACTTAATTAATCATTCTCAAGTTGATAAAATTACTCATGTCTGGGGTTAATTTTATAAAAAATAGTTTGGAAGATATCCAAGTAAATAAAAACGCATTAAGAATATTAGTCCAAATAAATACAACACAAGAAATTAAAAAAAAGTCAACCTATTAAAATGTGGCAATTGCATACACAGCATACTAAAATTTGCTATTTACAAAAGCCACTAAATACATAGAATTGATAGTTAAAAAAAAATGATTTGGATGATAATTTTGTAAATATAAACAATTATCCCTAAAATATATAATCATTAAAATCCCTAATGCGTGCTTTTCTGCTAGTTCGGCCCGTTCGAATCGGCAATTTCATTTTCAAGAGATTCGACGCCATTTCCTCTCTCGGCCTTCCCTTGAGGAATTGTAGAGTATCCCTGTCTTCCTCGACTGCCCTACTTATGCTCCGAACCAATTTCAGCCATGGTGAGTCTCTCTAGCTCTCTACCCCCCACCCCTTCTCTAATTTTGTTCCTCATTGCTCCATCTGAAGCATCATCGTGCTCCCGCAGTTCTCCATCGCAGCTATCAACGACTCTGATTCCAGTGGCCAGCGGGAGCCTCTTGCCCCTACCAAGGAAGCCCAGGCATGACAAACTTCTCTGTTTCTTTCCCTCCACTCGTATCATGCATGCTTCGCTTTTTGATTATTGCATTGAGCTGATTTAGAGAAAAAAGAAACGGAATTAAGGTTTCATCCCTTTCATTTGCTATGATATTTCTAGCAGGATTCAGCAAATTATGCCTAAGATATGTTTTACGCCAGTACGCTCAATTACACGTACTGTTAAATGAAAATTTAAGTGCAATGCTTTTTGTTATTTCTCAAAAGTAGCCTCTACCCTGTAAATATTTGGCCCGAAACACCGTATGGAAAAACTACTATTTTAACCACTTCTTTCAACCAGGAAAGAATTTGCTCTTCTTCCACCTACCGTTCTTAAGAGCAAATAAAGGGATAAGGGGCACATAACATAGTTTTGAACAAATTTTTGAGATTTGAAAATTGTTCCTACATGAGTGGTCCAGCACTCACTCACAGAATAGCTTGAATTGGGGCTAAATTTAGTTTCGGAAATGAGTAATCTCACTACTTTAGATCTTTATTCCCAAATGGAACCACAACTTTGCTCAAAATTGTCATTTTTAAGGAACTATGTTATACTAACCTGTTCCAGAAGAAGTTGTCTCATAGAAACGAAGGAAGTGGATACTACAAAATATTCAGATTTGTGTTGATGCTAGTAGAATATATGGTTTTGGTCTTGAAAATGACCTCATGGAAGGTTACTTTTAGAAGCTGACAAAACTAACCATGTTATGTAATTTATAGTAAGATAAATTTTAGGCTACTAAGTCAATTGTGGATGGATTTAGGCATTTTCGTTGATTGTCCTTCTAATTGAAACTAGATATAGATGATTATGTTTGCAGATATGGTAAATGACCATCAAATGTTGATGAATGCTTTGGAAAATTATCATTTGATAATTAAGAAAAATTAAACGTCAATGAGTTCTTCCCGTTTTTTCCTCTACTTTGATGGTCATTCCCATCTTAGCTTGTTTACTGCTTCTGCAAAATACCGTTTTGCCTTAATTGTAATTTGTTGAGCATATTTTGCTGTTCCACTCCAGGAATTCCATCTTTCTCAGAGTTATCATGAGGGGCTTCTGAAATTGCAAGACAAGGATTATGCAAGAGCCCGTGAGCTTTTTGAAGCTGTCTTAAAAGATCCTCTCATATCAAGTTCACAGGTAAACACGGTTTATGCATGATATTGATTTTTGATTGAAGAGTTGCTTCTTATTCATGTTTTCTTCTTTTAGATTGGTATGAATGCTGGTGATGGCCACCTGTTACAGCTGAGGTATTCAAATGAAATATTACATTTGTTTTATTATGAATCACAAATTTGCTGCTTAATCCATTTCTATTATCATCATGCCATTGTTCAAACAATCAAGTTTGAAGGGCCGACGAGCTAAATTACACAAACACCAAGCGGTCAATGTTTATTTTCTTAATAAAATAGTTGCTATTTATGATCAACTAAAATTATTTGGGTGGGATCCTCATCCATTCAACCCAACTATTCAATTGTTTGATGATCTAGATTGATCAAAAGTTTAGTTCTCTCTGTTTATGTCATTTACTATATTTATGAGGGTTATTATGTGACAATTCCTTTTTGTCACGAAAAAACTTAGTGTTTGTTGAGTTGCATTATAATCTATGCAACCTAAATTTTGGCTTCCTTTGTTCTTTCTTTCCCCATTTTAATGATTAAAGATAATCTTATCGTATCCTTTCGCGTTCCAAATGTTTTGTGTATCTAGACATAAATTGCTTAGTATTAACACTTTGCTCACCATCATCACCATAAGAAGCACTAGCATTTATTTTATATATTTATTTAAAATGAATGGTCGGAGGCTATTATACGAGCTCCCAGCCACCCTCATGTGCGAAACTATTTAAGGACCGCCCTCATTACCGGCAAACTGGCCAGAGGGAGATTTGAACCGTGACTATATATATATATATATATATATATATTATGCCAATCTCTTTTGCCTCGTATGTCGGGGTATTATGTTCTTCCCGACATTCTGGATGACTACCTAAACATAATGCTTCAGGGGAGTTTTTAAAATCTTGGGGAGTTAATGATGCTTATTTGATTAGAAATTCCACAAGACATCGGTAATATTACTTGCTTTATTCAAAGATTTATATTTAAAGAATATTTGGATTTTTTTGTCTGGTTTATTTTTTTGCCTTAAAATTTTCTTATTAAGATCTATTTTTTGTTTTATTTTTATTGCATTATTTGGTTGTAATTCAGGGGTTTTTTCCATTACAAATAATGACTTCTGGGTTTAGGTTGAATCATTGATTGATAGAATAAAATAATGGTGCTACGGAATTTCCATTTCCTTCTCCATCTCTCCCATTTTCTCTTTCTTCTGCTCTGCAACCTGCAGCTGTCTCAGGAGTATGAGTTCACCTATACTATAGAATGCGTGCTCTGTTTGTTGCAAGGATTTGCATTATATTAGAATATAATTATCTTTGGGGCTGTTCATTTTTTTTTAACGATCATTCTTTGTGGGCTGATTCTGTTTGTTTTGGAGCTTACACTGATTTTCTTTTCTTTCAATATAATTAACACTCGATTATGTCTTATCTTGAAGTTCGGATGCCATATAATTAAGACTTTATTATGTCTTATCTTATAATAGATAAGTTGACTATTTTCTTCATCCTGATGTGCTACTATTAATTCATACCACGGCTGCAGATTTTTGTCATTGAAGAATCTTGCTTTGGTTTTTTTCCAACAAGGCTTCGATCATTACAACAGTGCTCTTCACTGCTATCTTCAGGCGGTGGAAATTGACTCTAAAGATTCAGTTGTTTGGAATCAGCTTGGAACGCTGGCTTGTACAATGGGCTTATTTAGTACCTCACGCTGGGCTTTTGAACAGGGCCTTTTATGCAGCCCCAACAATTGTAAGAACTTGTAATTCTTATACATTGTTCATTTTTCTTTTGTTACTCTATTATATACCATATGAAATTTACTTTAGTTTTCATGAAAAACCAGATAATTAATGCTTTTCACATTCAGGGAACTGCATGGAGAAACTCCTGGAGATCTTAATTGCTATCGGAGATGAAGTTTCATCCCTTTCTGTGGCAGAGCTGATACTGAGGCACTGGCCTTCACATTCACGTGCGTTGCATGTGAAGAAGATAATCGAGGATGCAGAGCTGATACCATTTGCGCCTCGTGGTATAGATAAGCTGGAGCCTAAGCATATTAGATTGAAGTTTCCCGAGAAGAGAAAAGTAGCAGATGACATGATTGATGAGAATGTCTCATCAAAAAAACTAAAACAGTCGGTTGAGCTACAATTGTCAGAACCTAGTTGGGCAATTCTTGCAGATGCAATTTTAGGCCTATTGCTTCCTTCAGCGAGTATGTTGTCTGAGCAAGAGTTATCAAGACAAGAAACTTCACTTAATGGTAAAGTTGGTTGCAGGCGAGGGGATACTGAAAATGTTGATGAACAAGCATTTCAAGCATTTACTAATTCAAGAATAAACATACACTTGTCCTCAAATTCAAAAATTATTGTGGATTCTTCTAGACCAGTGACTTGTCCAGCTGGTGAAAGTATGACCGTCTCTTCTTGTAGTTTTGATGAAACAAGAATGATTAAGGATAAGGAAATCTGTGCGGACAAAGAACATCATCAAGAAAGGCGAAGCATGCGCCTTGAACGGCTAAGAAGTCGCAAATCAGGGAAAGAAGAGTTGGAATTTTCAAGTGGAAAGGATTCTTCAAAACTTATATTGCAAACTTTAGAACCTTTTATACTCAACAAGTCTGGAACAAGTAACGTTGATTATTCTGGAAATAATAATTTTTCTTATGCTGACATTCTTACATATTCATCAGTTCAGGAATGCAATGATGTTACTCAATTCATATATAAGGCTTCAAAAAATTGTGGAGCTTACCATATAGGACATATGTTGCTAGAAGAGATTTCTAAAGTGAATGTTCCTATTCAGTTTTGTTTTGCTAAGATCCTGGAAATAGAAAAGTTGACGAGGCACTGGGGTCAGGATAGGACTCCATCTTGCAGCCTGTTTCTAGCTGAGTTATGTTTTGATCAAGGTTCAGTATCTACTGATAAATCTAAGCAAGTTGATTTTTTCTCCGACTCATCTTATCATCTATGTAAAGTGATTGAGTTGTTGGTTATCGATTCATCAAATAACTTAGATGGTGTACAAGACTATCAAAGTAACTCCAAAGGCAACTCGTGTGTAGATTATACTAATAATGCAACAAATCCTTTGAGTTGCTCTTCAGAGAATGACAATATTCTAATCAGCGATATTTTCCACTCAAGCGTTTTAGATGTTACTTCTGCACTAACAAATAATTGCACATTTTGGGCTCGTTTCTTCTGGTTAAGTGGCTGCCTGTCTGTTTTGTATGTTAGCAAAGAAAAAGCATTGAAGGAATTCATCATTTGCTTATCAATTTTGAGAAAATATAGCGAGACGTCAGATTCTGTGCCTTTACCTCATTGTAGAGTTAAGGCACTTACTATTGACAAGGTTATTAATGAAATTAATTTGTTAACGTTAGATGCATTGCTTCAAAAGGTTAATGGGGACTTTATGGAGAAAGGCTTATATGCAAAATGTATAGAAATGCTTTCCCCACTCTTACTTTCCACAAAGGATGTCTACCTTGACGTGGTATCAGCTTCCTCAAAGGAAAGTGAAGGGGTAATATCACTCGAGTTAAGGGCTATTGATGTCTTAATATCAGCTTGCCAAAAAACAGAGCCGTTGAATGCTGAACTCTATTTAAATTGTCACCGACGGAAATTGCAATTGGTTATTGCTGCTGGCATGTTAGGTTTTCGTACATTTCAAAATGATGATAGAAGCTCATTTCTCAAAACAAGCCATGCCTCTGATTTGGGAAATCCGGAGTCTGTGGATGAGCGGTGGTTAGAAATGGTTGCTGAAGAAATAAAGGATATATCTCAAATAGCGTCAAGGCTGAGGGCTACGATTGACCAAAATTTTACTCATGTAAGTTTTCAATAGAAGAATTCTACTTATATCTCAGGACCTTGATAATTAATATCTCGATTAAGAGAAAATAAGCTTGCATATTATCCCAAAATTTTGAAATTATTCCTTATAGATGTCTGTTGACATATTGGTTGGCTTTAAGCAGGCAGAATATGAACGGTTAATTGCGATCTAAAATTAAAATCTATTAACTAATAACTTTTGAAGTCCAAAATGTCCATAAGAGGCATGTGTCAGCCGTTTTATTTTTAAAACTTTGCTTTATGATTTTTGAAAAGGGGAGATTAGTTTTATAAATATGAAAATAGTTTTAATAGTTTTGATGTAAATGATGTAAATATAATTTTTTGAAAGTAACATTTTAATTTAAAAATAGATGAAACCAAACGAGTCTCACATTTTAGATAGTTTGAATGACTAAGCATGATACTACGAGTAATATACTTTTTCCGAAGAATAAACATATCACTTGTAGTAGGCTCAATCACCTAAACTAAAGAATTTGTGACATCTGTTTGATCTGCGAAATATTTTATATAAGACCAACAAGTTCCCCTACCTAATATAGGATTAGATAGAGTTTATTTTACCTGGGTCTTAAGTTCCCTATAGAGGCAAACCCCTATAGTTAATTACATCTTAAATGACCGGGGTTACTTAAAAAAACTCTCGATTAAGATCAGTGATTTTATCTTCCAGATTTCAAAGTTTAGGTTTCTAAGATTGGACACGGGAAAATCAAACGGGACTGACTCAAACAGAAACAGTTATTTTTAAGAATCCAAATGAGCGAAGAATAGGGGATATCACAGATTCAAGGAGAACCCCGGTGACCTCTCAACTATCATATTATTTGGCTTTATATCTTTGAAATAATGTTATTCAGTCTTTGTTTTATTGTTTTCATTTTGTTTATTTAGAATTTAGGACTTATATTCGCTTTGTTTTGTTTATTTTTGTTGTTGTTTTGTTGACTTGAGGTTCAGAGGATTTACACTGTATCGTATAGTAACCTCAGAATCCTAAAGTGTTAGGAGTTATAATTGCACAACAGGGTTATGCAAAAGCCTAAAAGTGATATGTGAGGGTTTATGCTGTGCTAGGCAAACCACCTCGAAATCCTATGGGCTGTTATTTAAACTAAGAAAAATGTTCGGTGATGTGAATGTGTTTTGATGTTGCAAATCCATCTTGAAGTGGTTCCTCCGTATGTCCTCGTCATGCTGCCCACAATGTTCGATCCAAGTTCTTAGTCGTAGCAACTTCAGGTTTGATGTTAATCTTATGTAATCACCAAATTTTCTTATACTAAGACATAGTGTGTATCAAAACAATAAAGTATGCAGTATGAAATAAGAGAACAATATAATATACAGTAAAAAAAGTGGACAGTATAGCATGTTGAGAGAACAGTATAACATGCTGGGAAAACAGTATAACATGCTGTGAAATAAAATGCTGCAATGTATATCAAACCTGTATATTTGGGAGGTCATTTGCTCCTTTAAGCTAACTATTATTCACTGTATAAATAAGAGAAACATTGCTTGAAAAATTCAAGAAAATCGACAAATAATCCACGACGAAAAACTCGAGAAAATTGATAAGTAATAATTTAAATAAAACTATCAAAACCCCGGGAAAATCCCGGAGAAAAGATCACGAGTGTTTTATCCAAAAACTCCAAGGAAACATATAAAAAAAGTTCGAAAAGAGGGGACCGCAAACACTTTGGTCGGGGCTAGGCTCAAATAATATATTTGTACTCGAGGGACGTCGAAGGCTGCTATCAGTCACAGGCATGTATAAAGCCCGCCACTCCACTAGAAGAATATCCTGCTAAATCTAATTTAGGAGGGTACTTCTTAGCCCGGTATCGGTAATCAACAAGTGGACAACCAAGTTATAACACTTTTAAAATTTATATTTTAGCATGCACATATATTTCAAGCATACAAAAAGGAAATTGTACTAATTTTGTAGTGAAAATATTTTTTTATAAATATTGTATCTGTTCTTATCAATTTATTTTATCAATTTTTGAAAAAGGAATAGTTGTCCACGAGTCGATCACGTCATCGGACATAGGACCGCCAACAACTTAAGAAGGTACGGGTCCCCTGCTAGTTGTGTCGGTGATGATACTTTCATCCTTTAGTTCATCAGGTCCCAGAATTGAGTCCTGATGTTGTAGGATGAGATATCATTTTGCTCTACCACCGGCGTGCCTTTGTCATCATCGCCCTAAGCACCAAAACAAAACCGACCTACTTGCGACTTTGCTTGATGGTTTCATATATAACAAAAGACTATATATGAGCACTTATGTATCAGACATAAGCACAGAAAATCGAACCAAGAAGCAAAAGAAAAAAGAATAAAAATGAGGATGAGAGAGAGGAGGAATTGATCCACCCAAAAGATTGAAAGAATAACGGGTGAAGCAATCCTCAAGACTGTGACAAAAAGATCTGAAAAAGAGAGCCTAAGATCCTTGAATCAATCCAGAGATATCATCTTCTCAAATTTTATATAACTGGATCAACCCAAGAAGGATATCCTCTCCAAATTTTGTTTCAAATAGGTTAAAATGGGCCCAGAACTAACATAACACTGTACTCATGGCTCCATCACTTATATGCATTCACACATCCAAATTTGAACCCAAATGTGGTACTTATGTTATCCAAAATTTAATATTAAACCTCCAAAGAACTCTTTTATAAATAACAATCTTATAAGTTTTTAAACCCCTCCTGAATCTGTTTCATATCAACTTTATGATTCCCCAAAATGAAGTTTCAAGAGCCTTTCATATTTCACAAAATAATGGGGCACTAACCAATAGAGGAGGTAACCTTCTAGCCTTCCGGAAAATCATACCAATGTCAAAAATCATTTGATTCCATCCTTCATTGAAAGCTTTTCATATCACATAAACATGAAATTATCCAGGTAAAACCATATAAACGTTCATAACCAGGGGCAATAGAGAGGGAAAATCACCAGCCCAACCTATTCCACGAAGATGTCACAAAGTAAGGCTCACGGGTAAGAGCAGCAAGAGGAAGATCATTATCATTTAAGCTCACAGGTAGGGCCAAGAGAAGAGAAAAACCACCACAGAATAAGCCCAGGGTAAAGGCGGTAAGAGGAAAACCACAAGGGCAGTAAACACAAGATAAGACTCACGGCCAGGGGCATCAAGAAGAAAGCCAAGCCCAAACTAACCATCGTCAATCATAAAAGAGCCACAGGAGAAAGCTCATGGCCAGGGACAGCAGAGGGGAATTCGAGCCCAGGCCATTCACAAAGAATTCATATACAAGGATCACGACCAAAAGGGGGGTCACGGCTAGGAACAACAAGAAGAAAGCCAAGCCCAAACTATTCACAACACAAACCCCAAGCCAAAAGCTCAAAACCTTAAAATAAAATCAAACTTAGCTATTCATACATTTCAAACTAAGAAAGCCGCAACAAGGGCCAAAGCGAAACCACCAAATGAGGAAAACAAATCAACATTTCCAGCATGAACTCAACCCAAAAGAGCCAAAACCGAACCAACCCATATGGGGAAAACAGAGAAACATTTTCAGCTATAATCCAACATAAAAGAGTCAAAACCGCAAGAAGAAAGCCATATGGGGAAAACAACAAGAAGAAAGCCAAGCCCAAACTAGTCACAACACAAACCCCAAGCCAAAACAAGCCAAAAGCTCAAAGCCAAAAGCTCAAAACCTTAAAATAAAATCAAGCTTAGCTACTCATACATTTCAAACCAAGAAAGCAGCAGCAAGGGCCAAAGTTAAACCACGAAATGGGAAAAACAGATCAACATTTCTAGCATGAATTCAACTCATAAGAGTCAAAACCGAACCAATCCATATGGGGAAAACAAAGAAACATTTTCAGCTATAATCCAACATAAAAGAGCCAAAACCGAACCCATCCAACCCTTGCAGATTTGCATGTCCACCACCCAAATATTTCCTTTCACATGACCAAATAACATATCACAAAAAAAACTTCATGTGAGAAGAAATTCTATAGATGTTCCAAAAAAAAAAAACTCTCATGTGACTAAGAATCAAATCACAAAAAATTTGATGAAAAGAGGTTTCACATTAGCGCTACCAAAAATCGCACGACAATGGATGTCGGAGAGGAAGCAACTCTTATGCATGAAAAAAATGTATTTCACCTCTCAAATCTTCTAAAAGAGCAAAGCACTGAGGCCCTCCAAATATTGCAATTTAACAAATAAACCTTTTATATTTTCAAAAAAAGCAAGGCACCCTATGTTGCATATGTAACTACTTAAGAATTGCGCGGTATATATGTAAAAGCAGAATTTTGTCGGCTAGACATGCTAATGCAAGAGAATAGTTTGGCGTACATGTAAATCTCTATTTTTTTTTTTTGGGTTTTATGTGCAGTGTAAACATCCAACAATTATGTGGCATGAATGTAAAAATTAAAGTTCAAATGAAAGAAGTGTAAAAGCACAGGAATTAAGTGGCATGTATCAAGAGTTCCCCGAAACAAACTAGCAAGACTTCCAAATTCCAAGTAGCAACTTTCAAATCTTCACATAAGAGAGGGTATCACACTTCTCATATTTTCGCAAGTGGCTCAAAATAAATTTTCACATTTCTATAAAATGATTGCATCAAGACAGCTATTATGAGCATAAGCTTCATAATTTCACCAACCCAATAAATACAGATTTTAAGTTTCTACATAATGAGCATATATGAATCTCAGATTTCCATAAAACAAGATTGTCAAGAACCTCAACACACACTTGCACACATGCCACCCAATTCTTTGTGCATTTACATATCTATATAACTTTCAGAATTTTTTTTTTTTATTACAAAAAGGGCACCCAAAACTTTCAGAAAACAGAATACGCATTTTCAGATTTCAACACTCCTAAGAAGAGTTCAACCCAAATTTACTTCATCCAGATTTTTGCAAGAAAGTTCCTAGTT